CGGGCGGGCGGCAGCGGGGCGCCGCCATGGAGAGGACCCCCATCCCGGTGCTGACGGTGCAGACGGCGCCCTACGAGGACCAGCGGCCGACGGGCGGCGGGGGGCTGCGGCGGCCCACGGGGCTCTTCGAGAGCCAGCGCAACTACCTGCCCAACTTCGTGCAGAGCCTCCTCTCCTCCGTCGACCTCCGCGACCGCCAGGGCTGCACCATGGTGGTGGGCAGCGACGGCAGGTACTTCAGCAAGACGGCCATCGAGATCGTCGTCCAGATGGCCGCGGCCAACGGGGTAAGCGGCCCCCTCGCCCTCGCCGCCGTGCCCTCGCGCCGTAGCCGGGCCCCCTCAGCCGCCCCCGGCCCGCCTGAGGCGGGCGTCCCCCTTCGCCTCCTCGCAGCGGGGGCCTCCCCGGGTAGCGCTGGATGCGCCGGTCAAAATAAGACGAGCTTCGCGTCCGGCCGTGTGTCGGTGGTCTGCGCCTCCGATGCCCGGGTCAGCCCAGTGCCGGCTCGGACGTCCTTTAGGCCGTACCGCTAGGCTTCGGCGTGGCTGGCTTTATCTATGTATAACGGAGGCGGTCGTGATAATAACCTCGGGAGACTGCTGCTGGCCATGCTGTGCTGCTTCGCACCTTATTTTAGACTGGGGCAGGAATGGGAGCTGAGGAGCAAAGTTGACTCTGCAGGAGAAAATGTAGCAGAATTAAAAATAAGCGTGTGGGAAAAGGGGGTGTCAGACTCCTATCTGCTGCTCAGGATCTTTTGAGAATATTCAAGGAAAATGGTGTTACTGAAGCAAGAGGAATTCAGCATTTCGCTGCATCCTAAGAAAATAATCGTTCTTCTCCATTGCTCACTTGCAAACAAATTACGAAATGCAAGAAGACCACAGTGGCAAATACCTCTGTGATCAGATGGGTTTCAGCTTGTCTTGTGCCGTGTTGAAAATAGGAAACCGATGTCTTCTGATAGATATGTGCACATTCATGTGTTGGTGTGTATGAACAGAAAGCTGGAAGTACCAGCTAATGTGGGCTTGAAGTTTCTGCTTCAATGCAGAGATGAAGCTGCTGTCTCTCATTATGATGGCTAAATTGATTCTCCGGATCTGGCAGAAGTGACATAATTTTATAGTTGTTTTTTTTTTGTAGTGAATTTACTTTTTCTTAACTCTTTTCAAAAGCTCCATTCTTTAAATGCAGTCCTGTTTTATAACCAGGAGATCTTTCAACTTTAAAACAAATCTCTGTAGATGTCTGAATTTTCCCTGCTGTTTTATTGTCCCATACAAGCTATATGGATTAGCCAGCCTGGTATAAATAATGAGTATTTTAAATTTATTTCTAAGGCATGTTGTCACCACACTGATACCATCAAGAAGATGCTGAGTGATACCTGAGATTTTGGAGACGCTGGCCGTGTTACATGCTGGCTAGCTTTTGCAAACTTACTGTTCACGCAGGGGCTTGGTAGAGGCCAGGGCTTATGTGGCCGGGGGTGCGAGGAGGGCTGTCAGGGAGGCCGCTGGTGAGGGCAGCATGGTGGTGTTTTGTCCGCAGTGGCAGGGAGGGAGTGTGCCGGGAGCGAGCGCAGAGCAGTGGGAGTGGACTGGTGTGTGGGGCGTTGCGAGGAAGGTAGGATGGGACCTGGAGGAGTGCTGCTCCCTACCCCCTTCCCCCACGTAGCTCCGTGGAGAAAGCCTCACCGCTGGAATTGTACCTGTTCACCAGGTGGGACAAAGCACAGCAACAGCTTCAGCAAGAGCCCTGCAGCAAGAGCTGCCCTGCCGAGGCTGAGGTCCTTGCCTGCCCTTGCACACTGGTAGGAGCTACAGATTTACAGCCACAGGGTGACCACAAAGACCGAGGTGCTGAGGAAGACAAGAACTTTGGGGTTTAGAAGACCAGGGGCTTGTCAGCCAGGTTATGCTGTATTCAGGACTCCTTCCTGACTAATTCTTCCTGTCAGCTTGCCTCCTTCCCTCTGCTTCTGTCACATTCCCCGTTTTGCTCGGTTTCCTCTGAAGATCAGGTCTTTTTGACCTCAGGATATTTCCAGTTTGATGTGTTTCTGGCACCTTGCTGTAGTAGTGCTTCCCCTTTCTTAAGTTACTGCAAGTTTCTCCCTAGTGTTTTCTGAAGCCAAAACCCAAGCTTTTCTGCTCACAGTTCCCACAAATATCTGAATTCAAGCATGATGCTCTTACAAATGACACAGTCCTCACAAATTCAGCAGGCCAGCTGTTGGGGTGCTACTGATACTGAAAAGGCTTCCCATTTCCATGTGCTATGCTCCATCCCCTCACCACCATCCTCGCCCTGCTCGCTCTCACCCCCGTTTCTCTCACGCATGCTGTAAGTGCATAAGCCTCACATTTACTTAGTGAGTACTGTTTGTGTGTTTTATTTTTTGGCTGTTAAAATATATCTGCTGGGAAAATACCTAAACCTCTCTGGAGGCATTGTTTAGTGCTGCGCTGTGTAAGTAGGGGGAGAGGAAGGGAATACTCCTGAGGCCAAAGATCTCTCCCTTTGGATAAGGTTAATGTCATTAGAAGGCACGTAGCCAGTATCACACGGAAAGAAGTGAGCTGGTGTAGGCAGGATCGGATGAAATGTGTGGAAGCCTTGAAGTTGCATTCAAAACCTTGAGCCACCCCAGAGTGCCAGGAGAGGGATAGCCATGTAGTGCTGATAAACTGAACTTGAATCTCCTTCCTGGAAGACATGTAGCGAGTGTTATGGTTAATTGTGCCTGCTGAGTACAAAAATAAAGGGGATTTTCTATTATCAACTGTAAATGCATTGCCCTTTAGAGTTGCTAGGTTCCCCTTGTTCTAATTTGGTGACTCACCCCTCATTCCCCCTGCGTTAACAGCCTAGCACAGTTGGCATAGGCCCCAGCAGAAGGAATGAGATGAGGCCCCCTGCCCGGTCAGCTGCCAGTGCTTGCCCTGCCGCCTTCTCATCCTCAGTCCCTCTGGCTCATGCCCTCCAGCTTGGGGTTGCAAGTACACACTCCACAGCCGTAGCCTGCGTAGGCTTCCACTGGTGGCAACAGCCACAGGCTGGTGCATGCTGTGCAACTGTAATCAGCACACGCTCCACCAGATCTTTCTGTTCAGAGCCGAAGGTGGCTAACCAGGGTCACCCTTCGGTGGGTCACACAGCTGGGGCTGTAGCAGACACGTTTGGGTAAGGGACTGTGTGCCGTGAGAAGGTGGGGCTGTGTGAGGAAAGCTGGACGGGTCCCGTACCATTCCGGGTTGCAACAAGGGGTTTTGGTAAGTGGGGTGTTAGGAGAGTGTCTGAGGCTGTATTTCCCTTTTCACCTGCGTCCTGTCAGTAGCGGTGTCCTTGTACCTTAATGTGCGGAAGAACTGAGGTAAAAGGCTCCACCGTTTATAATACAGTTCCACTACAGATTAAATGCAAGTATTCCATTAGACCTATCGAGTGGATACACTGTCTCATTTCTGATGCAAAATTTAGGATAGGTTTAAATGAGAAGCTGGCATGTGTGAGAATCAGTGGCAGATCAGAAGCTGGTGATCATACTCTGAATATGGAAAGTCATAGCAACATCCTAGAGAGATCACAAGAGTATTGCTACTAGTGCTGTAGAAGCTGGAGATGGCAGAGAGTTTTCCAATTGTCTTCTTTATAATACCATGGTGTTTTTATTTTCCATGGTCTTCCATGCAAATCTTGCCATCCCTCCCTGGACCTGTATGATTGATATATTTGCTTGAATGTTGAGTGGGGCGCTCAGTCATCTTTATGGTACTATAGTACAAGATAGGAAGGCACAGCCCTGTGCTGTCCAGGATATAATCTGCTTGCTTCATGTTCTTTCAAGTTTAATTGACTGAGGCATGTGAGAGATTACTGGGAAAAATAATTAAAAAAAGCATTAAATGACTCCATGATAATCAACTGAATCGTCTGAAAATGCACAGCTGCAAGTGGTAATATTGCATAAAAATGTTCTTGTAAAGTACTTGTTAGGATGACTGTTCTTTCAGCTGTAAGAGTTTGCTGAGGATCATGGTCTTTGTTTCTGCTGTTGCTACTAAAAGCAGATTGACAAAATAGAACGTGGCGTAGGGGCACAGTATTAGGAGAGACGTTACATGCCTGTGATCTTGTAGCCATGCAAGTTTTTGAATTCCAGAGATAATCTTCCCATGCTATGAAACTGTCCAAGATTTTCAGAGGTATATTACTGGAACTTTAATTGTGAGTCAGTGCATGGAAATTATTTGGTTACTGTTTTAGCCCAGCTTGCGAGAAGTCTGTGAATCTGAGTGTACATTACTTAAAATTAATTAAATATCAGTTTAGTATTTGGTTCAGCGACAAAATGAACAGCTTCTGGGCCAAGAGAGGGACGAGGTTGTGTGTTCTTGCCACTGAAATGAAGAGAGCAGAGGAAGATGGGTAGCGTGCATACACTTCTAAGGTCTGCACTGTCCTCAGGGAGTTTTGTAAAAGCACTGAAGACCTTCACATAAGGTGAAACTCTTTGCAGTAGGCACTGCAAATAAAATATCTGTGTATCATTCATGTAATTTCACTTTCAAATCCTTAATTGAGAATACTAAATATTGCAGTATTTCTATAGTATAGAAATTAGTATAATAAATAGTATTTCTAAGTAGTATAGAAATAATAGCCTTGTGACAAATGCTGAAGGCAAAGCAAATTACTCCTGTTCATATTAATATTGGACATCCAGAAAAATGGGAAAACTGGTTTGTGCAATATCTGTTGAACAGGAAAAAAATGAAAGTATGGTGAATAGAGAGCGCCAGGTAATTTATGCATTCTGAATAAACTAAGTATTCTACTTACTTTAAAAAAACAGTTTTCGTTTGCATGAAGGCAAAAATCTAAACCTCAGAAGTTTAGATTTAGAAGTACAAAGAACATGTGCTCATGATAAGCCTGTATACAAGTATAAGTGCATTTATACTTGAGTGTACCTCAAGATAGATTCAGTGGTGTTGTTTTCAAGCATTTTGCAAAATGTAATTCCTGTCATCTTCCTTTGGCTTACCCATACACAATATTGTTTTCAGAGCTAGCACCCATTTCTGACAGCTGTATTTGGAAGATTGAGTCATTGCTCTAGCTTTCTACATGCTTCATAGTTTAAAAAAGGGAGAGACAATATTCAAAACAAACATTTTCAGTATTTATTTTCGCCATGCTTTTCTTTCCATAATAAAGGTACATGGGTAGATTGTTGTATAGACTGGAAAAAGTTTGTTAGAGTCTATTTCCCAATGTTTTCTGTTTTTCTAATGCTTCACTACAATTGGCAATAGTGATTAAATGACAGCATAAATACAACAGTCTTGCAAGACATGGCATGTTGTCCAAAAGCTGCTCCATGGACTGAAAGGAAGCCATAAAAGGACACACTCAAATTCAGAACAATTTAAAAAAAAAAAAATCTCTATTTCTCTTTCAAATTATTTACATGGCACTGGTTTAAATAAAACAGTAAAATATGTGGCTAATGGAAAGTTTTCTTTCTTCAGCTTGATTCTAAAAGTGTGTCAAAGCATGTGCTAGAAGTCCTAGTGATTTAAGTGCCTCTCCTGCTGGATGGAGTTTTACCGTATGCATTTTCTGGGGTAAAAGTGTGTCTGTCAGTTGTCAGCCACAACAACTGGAAATGCTTCTGTTTTAAAAAAAAAAAAAAAAAAAAAAGAGTCTTCCTTGTTCCCCAGTGTAGGAATTGCATTTCTGTGGTAACAAGAAGGGTTGTATAGAAATTAGTTTGGAAGTAGTTTAGTATTCAAAACAGTTGAATAAATAAAATGTAAATGTAGCATTTGGAGATTTAAAAGAGTTTTAAAAGATGGGAAGAACATTACATAAATGTGAAGAAGTCTGATCAGTAAGAGAGATACTGATTTTGTTCTGTAATTGGTGAAATAACATTTAATCAGCTGCTTCACTTGGCTTGGAGCTAGGATTGGAGGAAATATACCTTCATTGTTGCTCCTAAGGTCTGTAAACTATGATAAACTGAGAGCTTTACAAATACACGTGCTGTAAATTACTGCTTAGTTTTACCTTCAAGGAGAAGCAAGAGTGGAAAGGCAGGAGGGGCGTAAAGTCATAAGGTGATACAGAGTCTTGCAAGTAAACGCTGTCACAGTGCACAAGCATAACATTTAATACATTCTTCAAGGAAAACTGTATTCACTGGTATGTTTTGTTCTACGAATAATCAAAGGTATTTATGTTGTAGTCTGCATTAGGTTCTATAATAAGGAAGATGGTATTGGTCTTAATCATTCAGTCATAGGTTAATGAAACTGTATTGTTAGGCTTAAATAGGAAATAAAATTGTTCAGTACCACTGAAGTGAGCAGAAATGAGGTTCAGCTGTATAGTATATGTGTTAACTGTGTATACACTCCACCCTCACCAAACTGACCATTTCAGTGGAAGCACTGCTTTAAAATAATCTGTTGAAAGAGAAAATGTGGATTCTGCTGATTTGCATTTCCTTCTGGAAAGGATACTTGTTTTCCCTGGAAGACATTTTCATTATAGTAGAAAAATCAGAAACCAAAATTTTTTGTATCTTAACTTTTTCTTTTTTCATTTCCTTCAGAATTGTTCCAACCTTGGAAAAAAAAAAGACGGTGAAACAAATTCTCCCAATAGTAGGAAGAGCAAGTAAAATGAACCTTTGAAGTTTTTCTATGAACTGTACTTATAATTTTGATAGCTTTCCTGTTTTCTAGCAACAATCCATAGGCTTCAAAATTGCCTGCAGAAACTGTGAAAAGAGAACCAGGTAGACAAACAATCATCCTATCATCAGATCTTGAGGTAGAAATCCCAGTTAATAGAATGTGTTGTTCTGCACGTTTTTTTAAATTTGAAAGCAGATGTTGTAATTTTCAGTGAAAGAGAAATGGTTAACTGTAGTTTGTGCTTTGTGCGGGTTAGCAAAAAATTACTTGTACTTGCTTAAGAACTTGATCATTTCAATGTAGAGTATGTTTTTTTTTTAATTAAATTAGTTCAAAAACCAGGCTAAATAAATAATTTATTAATCCTTTGCTTTTCTGAAATTATTTGGAACCCCACTTCTAAATAACCATTAGGGGCCTCACACAAGTGCTGGACCCAGAAGAAGGTAATCTGTATATGAAGGAACAGTCCTTTATAGAAGGGTGGCATGTTGTGACACCTCCTGTGCTGTTGCTTTGCCACACAGACAGTAGAGCTGTCAAATCTCCCTCAAAACTAGAGAGGAAACTTGAGGCTGAACTCCCACTCTGCTTTTAGATAGGGAGTGGGAAGAATTCAGTGTTCTACGTCTCCCTCCCTCCCGCCCTCCATCCCCACCCCTCTACTTCCCAAACTACTACTCAGTAGTGGTGGGGTTTTTTGTTTGTTTGTTTGTTTTATTTTAAGTAAGGATATTAAAAACCCCCTTTGGCAATATCCTTTTAAGCTCCATATGCAGCTGCCTCAGTTCTCATCTGTGACACAAACCTCCCCTTCTCCCCTCCTTTTTTGTATCTGCCTGTTTCCCAGGAACTGGAACTCTTTCATATTTCTTTGTAAATACATTTCTGGTTGGCTCCTAGATTATTTATGTTGAAGCTGTAGTATCTGTGTAGGGATGAAGGCAAGGTTTTGAAATTGGAACCTTGCAGTGGGACTGCATACAGTACTAAACACATTGAACCAGTGTTTCGTAACACCACCTGAAAGCTTTTTTTACTTTAAGAATGGTGGGAACTTCCCCTGCTCAGCTGTGCCATGGGAAACACACCCTCTTAGTCTGGAATAGCCCAGGAGTCACAGATGGCTGGAGGAGGAGCAGTACTTTCTATAGGGCAGGACATCCAAGGGTGTCTTAGGAATAGAGATGAGACCTGTAGAGTCTGCAAGTCCTACTATGTATAGTGATACTGGTGATTGCACTGAAAGGCTGCTCCGTGAAAGGCAATTCGCTTGCTGTTCTCTTTTTTGCTGGTTAAAGCCCCAACCCTGCAAACTACAGCCACACAGTCGGCCGTAAACTGTATTGATAGTTTGAGGGGATTTGCTGGTTCGTGGGGATACGTGGAAAGGTCTGATAGCAGGATCATAGCCCAGTGCTATGCTGGGGAGCTTTGCAAATCACTGCCATGGCTGTGCTTTTGCTCTACCATCAATAAACAGGCCACTGGTGTTAAATGTGCCAGGATACAATATTTTTTTGTCAGCGTTCCAGATCAGCGTGCAACCAACTCGTGTACATGTATTTCTCTACAAAGGAATAGGTTCCATACTAGGACTTCATAATTTCTATCCTATACATGTATGCCTGTATGTGTGTGCGTTTATTTATTAATTTTCAAAAGTTTAGTACCATTCAGAGTACTTTGACTTCCTTTTCCACCTAGATCGGCAGATTGGTTATTGGACAGAATGGTATTTTATCCACACCTGCTGTTTCATGTATCATCCGAAAGATCAAAGCAGCTGGTGGAATTATTCTAACAGCTAGCCACAGTCCTGGGGGACCTGGAGGAGAGTTTGGAGTCAAGTTTGAGGTTGCCAATGGAGGTAGGTTTTTTTTAATAACACAACATTGCATCTCGATATGATGAAAATATGCTGGCAAGGATAACTAGCTTACTTTAACTATGTGTTTTTCATTTATTCTGTTAAAACTGTGAGGAGTATATGCATATCTCTTTTTTTTTTCAGTAATAGCAGTGTATTTGTTTACATGGGTTCATACAGTAAGCATTAAATGTTCACTGAAGTCCTTGTGGTAGCTGTAAGATTTCTATAAACAAAAGGTTTACTATCTCATTTTTATAGCATTGTATGTAGTCTGCCAGATCATTGTAACAGTTCTGATCCTTTTATAAAGATGCCTGTGAGGGAGCTCTGTTTTGCTCATATTTCTGTGTTGCTTGTCTTGGCATTTATTTAAAGCGTGTAATTTCAGAAGTGCTGTAAGCAGTATAACTCATTGTCTTGTATGGAAGAAAGCACTTCTCATGTTTACCCAGGAAATAACTGCCCTTACCCAGGGAGAGGGTTGTACCATTTTAACTACTGCAATTCCAGTGTTGAATAATAGAGGTTGTGTATATAGCTGATGTCTTGTTTTTCAAAATTGGCAAGCTAACACATGTAGGTATGTTATACATGATGTATGTTTTATGTTATAGATTTGTGTACACCTATAAAACATCATGGTGACAATTGCTGACACCTTGTGTACCTCACGCATGTAGAGTGCTTTCCATCTGAAAAAACTGAATTGCTTTTAAAATAATGTTTGCTTCCCCATTTTGAAGGTGGGAGACCTTGAGCCTTTGTCCCTTGTTTAATTGAAAAATGGGCATGGTTAAACCAGTGTGATTTTATAAACAGAATAGACTTGAATCCTGGAGAGATTAAAGGGACTGTGTAAGGTCAGACAGTGAGAAAGCCAGGGTCACAGCACAAAGATACCAGAGCCAAACCGTTACATGCATTAGCACTCTGTAAACTTTAAAACACCACATACACCTAAAATCTCTTTGGTAGATGGGTAACAGTTGGTGGGGCGTTCTTTTTAGTGTGCTTTGCCTTTTTAAAGAAAATTCAAACAGGCTGTTAAGCTTTAATTATGAAGCACTTCTCAAGCACAAGCCATGAGGTTCAATTATTTATGATAATCAGCAGGGACATAATGAAAAGTAGTTGGTTTAAGTTGCAGCTGTGAAAATGGGGGTTAAGTATTATGCAAGGCTTTTGAATGAAGAGAATGGTTAGGCACCACAACAAGCTTCTGGGGAGGGCTATTGTTGCTCTGCATTCTTGCTCAGTCTATTTTGCAGATCCGGGTCAGGCAGAAGTGGTTTGTTTCTGTAGCTGTAGGAGAGAATGCAGAGAGACGCTGTGGGATCTCCTTAGCTGGAAATATCAGTAGACAATACATCCATTTATCGAGGATGATCTGGAGCTAATGAAACCTGTCCTCACCCCTTGGATGGGTTTGGATTAGATGAGTAAGAAGTCATTTTCTAAGCCAAATAAAGAGTTAAGTGACTGTTACTGTATTGCCTTAGACCACCTGGTACATTGCATCTGAGATGGAACACACCAATTTATGTGGCAAAGCTGCACTGAGTATAGCAGCATTGCTAAAGGAGTGGGAAGTTAGCACTGAAAAGACAGAGGCTTTGGATTAGGAGAGAGAGCACATAAAAGAGAATAAAGGAAGTAATTTTTCAGAGTGGAAGTGTGGCTTTAATATAAGCAATGAAGAGTCAGGTAAGCCAGAAAGGACTTTCGTTGTAACTCAGACTCAACTCTTGCACTGCATATAGCATAGCTCATGTGGTAATTGTTGCATCAAGCCTGCAACTTTTATTTGATTGACAGCAAATCTTTAAAAATAGAGCCAATCTTCAGGATTTGGCAATAAAAGTAATGCACAAGTGAGATGTGATTTCTGTTTCTGAATGACATAACTGTTCCAGGTCATAATTGCTTGTTAAGCAGTTAAGGTATTTTGAATTCTAACAAAGTCACATTTCATTAAGCCGTTAGAGGAAAACTGCAAGAGAACACTACTGTCAAACTGGTAAGACTTTTTAAAATGATAATTATGTCTAATGAAATAATGTGAAACACAAAGCTATCTCACCTTCACCAGTGCGCATTTGCAGAAAGCCCTATGAAACACCAGAAACTGCTGCTGAAGGACAAGTTTTCCTTTAATATGTATGTTGAGATTGCATGTAGAGTAAAAAAATGGCAGTCTTTGGGCAATAACAACAAAGAAAGATGGCTATGGGTTTTTTGGTTCCCTCATCCCCCCTGCCATGGATAATGATTGATTTAAATACTCTATGTGAATCAAAACGCTGCAAGTAATGCACTGTATTTCCATGTTATGTATTTTCAAAAAATGTTTTAAACCTGTGTTACACTGAAAGAAAAGACCTTATTTGCTATAGTTTTTTGTTTGGGTTTATTCCTTAATAACTCACAAGAAATTCAGAAAATGTTTGCTATAGCACTCACTTTTTAAGTAGGGAACCTTCATTAAAAAAAAATGACCCACATTCTTTTTTCTTATAGGACCTGCTCCAGATATAGTTTCAGATAAAATCTATCAAATCAGCAAAACCTTGGAAGAGTATGCCATTTGTCCTGATCTCAGAGTTGATTTGTCACGCCTAGGAAGACAAGAATTTGATCTGGAGAACAAATTCAAACCTTTCCGAGGTATTAATGTCTGCTTTTATGCATGCTACTTCCATTGGTTCTAAATATTAGAATTGCTGCAAAATGATGAAGGGTAATTATTTAAACAAAACTTTAATTTTTCAAAATGCCTTATTACAAGTTCTCAAAATATTAGGCAGTTGTCGTGGTTTAACCCCAGCAGCAACTAAGTACCATGCAGCCGCTCACTCACTCCCCCCCCATCCAGTGGGATGGGAGAGAAAATAGGGAAGAAGAAGTAAAACTCGTGGGTTGAGATAAGAACGATTTAATAGAACAGAAAAGAAGAAACTAATAATGATAATGATAACACTAATAAAATGACAACAGTAGTAATAAAAGGATTGAAATGTACAAATGATGCGCAGGGCAATTGCTCACCACCCACCGACCGATGCCCAGTTAGTCCCTGAGTGGCGATTCCCTGCCCCCACTTCCCAGTCCCTATACTATATGTGACGTCCCATGGTATGGAATACCCAGTTTGGGTCAGCTGTCCTGGCTGTGTCCTGCGCCAACTTCTTGTGCCCCTCCAGCTTTCTCGCTGGCTGGGCATGAGAAGCTGAAAAATCCTCGACTTTCGTCTAAACACTACTTAGCAACAACTGAAAACAGCAGTGTTATCAACATTCTTCACATACTGAACTCAAAACATAGCACTGTACCAGCTACTAGGAAGACAGTTAACTCTATCCCAGCTGAAACTAGGACAGCAGTATAGGTAAGTGTTGTGTTTGTTTTGCACATAAGGAAGCTGAGTTACGGACTTCAAGTGCATGAGGCCTCATCATTTAGCCAAATACCTTTACCAAATATATGTGCTTAGGCTTGCTAGTAGTTAAACACCAAACACAAACATTTTAGGACTAGGAACGGTTTGCTTATGGAAGTCTAATTGACAAAAGAGTTTGTGAGACTCTTGGTTTATTCATTCTTTGCTCACACTTTCTGAAAAGTTGTGGGATGTATAAGGCACTGGCCATCCAGTCACTCCAAATGTAAAGGGAGTGCTTAAGCATATGTTTTAATTTTAAGTATGTGAACACTTTTATGCCTACACTTCATTTAAAATGAGCTAACACAGCCATTTTGTCCCGAAGGAGTCAAAAGCAAAGGAAGGGGTCCAGACAATATTTCAAATACTGTAAAACTCTGTGTGGCCTCAAGAACTCTTCCTCATTCCTGATGTCCTAGAATAAAAGCCAGTTTAAAGCCACTGAAACATTATATTTTGAGACAAAAACCAGCTTGATAAAGTTTTTGATGAAAAAAATCTTAAATTACGAATTGTTTGATTGCAAAGAACATGTTCGGCTTTTTAGGCAAACAAAAAGCAAATAAAATTCAGCTCCAGCACCACTCTGGAATCATATGATTGCCACAGTTTTAAATTTTGCTTTTTCAACTTTTTAATCTCTCCAAACTGTGTTTTTCTAAATGAAAATGAGACACCTCTCCCCCCCTCCCCGCTACAGGTAGTATAAAAATAGATTTAAAATAATTGCAATTTGTCTGAATGTTTTTCTAAGGAAAAATTGTTTCCCAATCATCTCTTCCCAGAATCCCTCATCCTGGGACAGTAGAGCTGCCAGGGATCTCTACTGAAGAAGCAATGTAATTAGCTTACAAGAGCATGAAAAAGTATAGTTTACACAGGTCTAAATGCAGAATGAAAGTGCAGAAAGAATGCAAATAATTTTAAAAGTATTTTAAGATACTATCTGATGTATTTAAAACTTCCACTCTTTCAGTTGTATGAACTAACTCCTGTGAATCAAGGCTACAGAGGTGTTGAAGCAACTGAGAATAAACCAGTTGGGTTTGGCAGGAGCTAAAATAATTTTTAGACTTTAATCCTACATGCAATTTATCTTAACATGTGTGAGCAGCTCCAGTGAAATTGAGGCATTTGTTCATATGTGTAAAGCTTAGAGCCTACTTAAACATTGCTAGGAGTAGGGCATAGAAGATATGCAGTAATGTAATTCCAGTGAATCCTTGAGACTTTCAACATATACCATAGAATTAACTCATTTTCAAATAGCTTTTACAGGTTGTTTTTCAGCCTTGAGAACCTCTTTTTTTTGTTTCTCCATTCAAGTGTATTGTTGCAATCTATTCTAAGTGTTTTTCTTAGGCTCAAAAAATGTCTGTGTCATTTTCATGTTATCCTAAAGAAGAGCATTAGGGTGAGATCAGTGTTTCTGAGGAAAACTACCTGATATTCCAAGTAATAATTTAACTTGTAGCTAAAATATTTCAAGATACTTATTTAACCAGATAAAAAGACATTTGTATAACATATGCTTTTTAATTTAATCAGGAAAAGTAATACGTTCCAATATGACTGAGAAGCATCACTTTTGACAGTTGTTTGGTAACTGCTTTCATTTTGACAGACTTACTTTCATTAATTCATTTTAGTTTAATGTTTTACATCCAAAAGAACTAGGAAAATTGTAGGACTCTGTTTCTATGAATTTAGAATTCAAATTAGTGAGACCTTAGCAAAAAACAGATGTTGTATCTGAGCTTAACTTTCCTAAATCAGTGAGATATAGAATGAAAAAGTATAGTAGTAGATTGACAACAAACTGGAGACAGATATTCTAGGTGCAAAACCCTAGAAGAATAGGCTGTATGTCTCTCCTGATGGGATGATGCAGATGGATACTGCTGTAAGGTAGAAGAATAGAAACTTGGCATGGGCATCTTCCATCCTCTGAGAATAAACCTGTTTAGCTTGAAAAGTTGTTTAGTGATTTAGTGAATGATAAATAGTTTACTTTGATATAATGTACTGTCATGAATTTTTTCAGTGAAATAGGAACTGTCAACTTACCTTATCTCTGCAGTTCTTTAGCAGGCAAACCTGTTACTTTTGCAAGGCTTAAAGCTTGATGGTAGCCACAGTGAAATCAGTGGAAGTGTTTGACTTTGTCCCTATGGGCTTCAGAGCAAATCCATATTACGCAGAGGTTGCACGCTTTGATTTTAGTTGAGGTGCATGGCTGGTGGAAGTGAACTGGAAGAAATATTTTCCCATATGTGAACTGTAGTGTTTTTTTTCTACCTAATTTTTCTAGTGGAAATTGTGGATTCTGTGGATATCTACCTCAATCTCCTTCGAAGTATCTTTGACTTCAATGCGATCAGAAATTTGCTGACCGGACCCAACCAGATTAAAATAAGGATTGATGCCATGAATGGAGGTACAAACTTAAGTTGCTATCAGGACAAAATTGTAGGTACACTGCAATAGTTTCCCAGTAAAGATGGTACACTGCAATACTTTCCCAATAAAGGTACAGTGTATAAAAGTCAGACTTTTTAGTAAAGTTAAGGGTAATAAGAAAGGATTTGAACATTATACTAGTAACAAAGGCAGTCTTAACAATGGGTTAGGTCCCTTATTAGGTAAAGAGGTTTATCTTTCTTGTTAAAGAAATGAAGGCACATGTGTCCAATAAATGTTCTCTTTCTGCATTTGGAAGCAAGCGGGATGAGGTAATCTTGCCATGAGAGGGTGATGAAGTATGTTGCAGGGTGTAGTAACCAAGCAGGTTACAAGGCAGTATCTACTAAGATTTAATTCTAAACGGTGTAAAATTAGTTAAGTCTCAATAAATTGCACCCTAGAATCCTTAAAGAGTTTGCTGAGACCTCTGTCTCACTAACATTAACTATTAAAAAATTTCAGTGTACTGGGGCAATATGAAAGAAAGTGTCACAGAAGACAGCAAGGGGACCAATTTTGTGCAAATATGAAAAAATTATGACCTGTGTCACTTGAGGAGACATAGATATTTATGAGATTTATCTTAGGCTACATCATGAAAAAATAAATGAAGAGATCTACAGATAATGATTTCAAGGGTAGGAATGTAGGTGATGCTGTTCAACATTATCATATGGAAGTCAAATTCTATCAAACAAACCAGGTTTCATTCTTTAACAGGATTACAAAACCAGACTGATAAAGGGAGCTGGATACACTTACAAAACATTTGTGAAGCATTTTCTCTAGTACAGCATGATAGTCACTGTTCAAAAGATCATAGTGGGCTTACAGTCAGTGTGAACACCCAGTTTTGCCAAGGTATGGCAAAAGGGCAGATGATGTCCTTGAACAATGCAGAGGGAGCAATGAGGATGGCACTGCCTCCTGTTATGTACAATACTGGAGAGAATGTTACTCAAATAGTTTGTAGAGCTCTGATGTCCAGATCTATAACCAAGTATTGAAAAATCTTACATGTGGTCAAAAAGATGCATAGTCTGGCTCAAGGTTAGAAAAACTGATGCATCACAAAAATTTTATAGGACTGAGTTTGTTTACTTTATTTACAAGGTGATAGAGAATTGGCTTTATGACTTTGTATCTTGGTGGAGAAATAGTGATACTATAATACATGGCACATGTACAGTAAGTGTATACAAGTGTATGTATTTGTTTATACAAGGGAAAGTTGTTTTGGTTTTTTTTCTACAGAAGAATTATTTCTCAGTCTTCTATTCCCCAAAATACCAAAAAGAATCAATAGTAAGAAGTTGAGGCCAGACAAATTCAAACTGACATGTAGCTCACATGCTTATGGGTAACAGTGAATAACCACTGGAGCAATCTACCAAAGATAGTTGGGATTTGTCCTTCTCTGGGAGGCATCAGATCAGAAGACTTTCTGAATGAGATGCATTAGCCTAAAGCGAGTCATCAGCCACAATATACTGAACTTTAGAGCGGACCACATGTGTATGAGGACAAACTGTCTTCCAAAGTTTGTTTTCTCTCTGCATCTCTGGAATATGCTTTTATGTCTGTAGACATTGATAGTTCAACATCAGCATAGAAAAGAGTAATGTATCAGGAGTCTACTCTTGATAAGAGCCTGAATCATTGTTTGCTGTATATTTTACAGAATTAGCATCTAAATTTTCATGAACACAAGTTTCTCACATAGTTTTACCTCGGATTACAATTGCTCCAGTTAGCAAGATTTGGGAGTAAGGTAGGAGAAAGAGAGCATGAGAGAGTGAGCAATCACTCATGAATTTTTTATCTCTAAGTGACCTGTTCATACCTGCCTCAGGGATGCAGAAAGCTCAGTCAGTTGTTAGTGTCTGTTCAGCCAACAAATGCATATAATAATTATTATATATAATAGCATAAGCTGGGGTCTTAGTTGGCCATATCTTTAAGAAAATAAAGAAGTTATTTTGGAAATAGTTTTGAGAAGGTTTTATTTATTACCTACATGGTAGTAACTAAAATGTGGTAAAATTCTTTGGTGGACAAACCTGTTGTAATTTTAACGTGAATTGGAATGTTGAGGTTATTTCCCATTTGTATTCCCCTTCTGTTTACTTTCCTTGTTATTATGTGTTAAACTGTTGTTTGCATTCCAGGATACATATAATAGCATCTTATTTTTATTCTAGTGACACCCCCCCCCTCCCATGTGTATGATAATTTCTTTACTTAATAATGGGTAAATAAAACTTGCATCTTTCACCATTCAGTGATTACTTTTTCACTTCCACTAATAGGGAATCATTTTTTAATGCTGAATTGCCAATTGATTATTTACTGGGGGGGACAATCACATACTCCTTTGTGAAATAATAGTTTGTTTTTTGTTGCTAGGACAGATGTATAGAATTGCTGAAAGTATGTTTTATATCAAGTCTCCACGGTGCTGTGAAAAATTTGAATATCAAGCATATGCTTTTGTGATTGCATGGCAGATATCTGTTTTTGCAGTTATGGGACCTTACGTGAGAAGAATCCTGTGTGATGAATTGGGAGCTCCTGCAAATTCTGCCATAAACTGTATTCCTCTGGAGGATTTTGGTGGACAGCCTCCTGATCCCAATTTAACGTATGCAACTGCCTTGCTGGAGGCTATGAGAGGTGGTGAATATGGATTTGGAGCTGCTTTTGATGCTGACGGAGTAAGTATTTTGACCTGTCTGGAGATTTCACCATAGTTGTTTTGTCTGGGGTCAGATATGGGACATGTAAGTATAATTTATTTGCTTTTCAGTAAGCCCTTGAAGCTGAAAGTGATATTACTTTCAGGTACAGATGATAGCATTTGCAACCTATAAATCAGACACATATGTTGTAATTTGTCTCTGCAGATGACTGGAAATCAAGCAGGATTTGAATGCAGAAAGAGAACTCTTTAAATATTAGGCTGGTTTTATCTTGTAGTGGCACAACAGTTTTATTCCCTGCTTAGGAGGAGACAGCATATATAGATAATGCAGACTTGTCACCATAAGTAGTAACTAAGTTAAGTCTGTTTTGGTTAACATCGTAAATTGAGCGAATTTTGGCTAAATAAAGCACTGAATCACAATCTCTGTTTTAATTTTTTTATGTCATATTATCAGCATTATAAACAGCAAAGTATTACAGAACACTTTCTGTCCTGACAGGGTGGGAGAAAGATGAAAAGGTTCTGAAGAACAGAAGCTGTTTTCTGTTGTCAGTAAACACAAAACACCCTCCTACTCCCTGTATAGTGTGTGTCATTGCCAGAAAGATTCTCCCACCCAAGCATTCCCTGGCAGGAACAGACTTACTGAAGTGTCATGTAGGAGGCTGAAGCTAGAGACTTATCTGGAGCTTTGATTTGCAAGGCTGGAGGGAGCAATGTTGTGATAACGGGAGTATAAACCTGCCAGGGTGATGCCAATAAATTATTCTGCCCAAAGAGGGATGTGAGTAAGCCAAAGTGTGTTCTTTTTTTCCCTACCTACAGTGGATCTAATAAAAGAAATTGCCACTCCCCAAAACATGGAATTCAAGGTGCTTTTTTGAATTTCTTTTCTTCTCCAGGACCGCTACATGATCCTTGGCCAAAATGGTTTCTTTGTTAACGCGTCAGATTCATTGGCCATAATTGCTGCCAATCTGTCTTGCATTCCATACTTTTGTCAGATGGGTGTCCGAGGATTTGGCAGAAGCATGCCTACCAGCACAGCCCTGGACAAGTAAGATGAAACATTTATTTGTATCACCTTGGTCATTACATTAGTTATCTCTCTGTTTTGTACTACATAGCAATTCCAAGATTGTGAAGTCTTCTAATAAGAGCTTCTAATTTTCACAATCTTTATGTGCTTTATTGTTTTAACTAGTTCTGATGATATTTTGATCTTACCTGGACAAATTTTACCCGCCTTTACTTGGATGAAAATAGTTTAATTCAGCCTGGAAAAGAAATAAATAGGTTAAATCTTTCTGAGACTACAAACAGCTGGCTGGTAATCCCTTTTCCAAATAACTTTGCTTTTTTTCTTAGTAAATAATGGTTTGCAGCCTAATCTAGCAGCCTTTCTTATGAAAGTCATGGAAGTTTAAAACAGATGAAGTACTAATTCAGTACTAAACAAGCATTTAAAAAACTGCAAACAAAACCCCCCTCTTATTTTAAGCTGTTGAAACATATAATCTATTATGATACAAAATGTCCCAGAAGGAATGCAGGCAGTCATGAAATCTATACCCAGTTTCAAGGCAGGTTAAAAGTATACCTAAAGCTATTTCTGACAAGTCTTAGAAGATTTGCTGGATGTGCATGCTGTGGCAGCAGTTGAATTTTGAACAAGTCTTATCCAGGCCTAAATTTTCTGTAAGTAGTGGTGTAAGAGGATTAAGCTAAATATTATTGCCTTATATATTCCATGTGGGAAGAGCACTCACTGAGTCAATTGTGCCTCAGTGTTGATCTGGTTGCATAGCTTTACTAACACAAGAATGATCTGCTGCCCCCATTAAATGTGTCTAATCAGGAAACAGTAATTTTGAAGTGAAATGTAGCTTGTATGAAAAGGCTCATTGCTCTGTGCAAAGCAAGGATATTAGGGTGCTTCCCTATTCAGGAAATTTCTGGAAGTTGCTAAATTCAGAGCTAGCAGCTTCCTCTAATGCTTGACAGAGTCTTCAGGGAAATATTCCTTACTTGTAGGTAGATGGTCTAGTTTAAGGAAATAGTGACGTCAGGGTTTGCTGTATTTTATTTATTCTGTTGAGAAATCCCAAAATCTCATTGTTTAAGTGAAAGTTACCATTATATTGAAATACTATGTAACATAAATAGAAGTTCATTTTTGAATATAAACCCAAGGATATCTGCACTTCTGTAAGACTTGAAGAAACAGTGACATTTAAATATGTTTGTCTGTCTTTTTAAAGTTTGGTAAATATGTCAGAAAGTATGAATGTACTGAAGTCCCCTTCAGTAACACTGTGACTATTTGAATTATGTTCTTCACAATGTTTACTTGACCTTCTGGAGCACAGATCGTCTCATGGTGATTACTGCCTTATTTAGTTCTGCAGAGCTAAGTCTGATTATTAAATAAAACAATTGATAATGATGGAAAGACGTAAATATTTTCCCACCCATTCTTACAAATATTTATTATTAAGAAGTTTGCAGTCTGTATCCAGGACACTTGAATTTTTTTTTCTTTCATTTTGTGGTTGTCTTTGTTTTCCTGAAGATTTAAAAGTTACATGTTTTCAAAGTTGATCACTTTTTTTTTGTGACTCATTAGTACACATGACAGTCCAAAATACCTGAATTTTAGTTTCCTGTAAAAATGCCATAATGTTGTCCAGAGATTCTCATGCTTTGGTGGACAAAGTTGTATAAACTGCTTAATTTATGAGTGCCAGTGCTGAACTCACTCGTTGAAGAGCCAAGCTTAGACCTGAAATCACAGTCAGTAGTTCATCTTAAGCAAGTCACTTTTCCTATATAAAGCTGGCTACATGGATTGGGACACAGTAAGGAGTATCATAAACACCTTTCTTAGAGGTTCACTGCATGAATTATTGAGCCGTCGTGTCTTCCAGGATTCCCAGTGAAGCCCACCATAAGGAACTGCTGGACTACCAGGAAAGATGGTTGTCTGTAAGAGTTATTTTTGAGTAAAATCATAGAATGTCATTGTCTGAAATCCAATATATTGCTTCAAGGAGTGGCTAACAGAGAGGTCAATTCTTGGTATAGGTTTCATGTTGAACTGAATTCCAATTTCATGTATCTATAAACGTAAGGTACAGTTCCACCAGTGTGAGTGAAATCCTCACCCAGTGGGACAGTGGGTGTAAAAGAATATGTGTAAGGCATTCATGATTTCCATTCCCATGGACTAACTGGCCAACTTGCGAAAAAAAAAGCCTTTGGGAAGGACACAAATATTCCCAATACAATGAGGCAAAAAGAAAAAAGAAAGATTGAGCAATTCTATGTAAAATTAGCACACTAGTATAATGTTTAGTGTTAAAATTTTAAAACCTCAATCTGTACTTCTGCAATAGGAAAGGAAATCCTTTCTCTTCCAAAATGTGATGTCTGATACCAGACAGCATGCTGTTTAGTGCGAGGGACAGCATCTTCTCTGTATTGCTGCTCCATGTCTCACCTCCAATATAATAAAATCAGTAAGGAAAATATTTTGTGCTCTGAGTAGAACAATGAGAAAGGAATGGATGACACTGCTTGCTTAAGTCCTGTGGTAGGTTTCAGGTTACTGCTTACTAGTGTATGCTTTACATCTATTTCTTTTTTTGTTTCTTGATCCCTTTTATTCCTTTTTGATAGACTGGTTTTATGTGCTCCAGGGGCAACTGTCACAGAACCCTTTTGTATATCTACCTGTAAAGCTTATGCTTCAAGCTCACGCACTGGAAAGAAAACGTTAAAAATTAATTTAAAAACTGTACTGTGACTATTAATACTGGCAGAAAAGAAGGAAATAATCACAGAATAGCAGAGGCTGGAATAGTGAGCATCATGTAGTCCAACACCTGGGTTCAAAGCACTGTCAGCTAGAGTGGGTTGCTGAGAGCCATGTCCACTTGGGTTTTGAGTTATCTCCAAGGATGGAGACTCCACAGTCTTTCTGGGCAACCTGTGATGGTATTTCACCACTCTCAGAGTAGAAAAGTTTTTTCATAACTAGAAACAAAATTTCCTCAATTTCAGTTTGTGCCTATTGTGTCTTGTCCTATTACTGGGCACCGTTAGAAGAGCCTGGCTCTGTCTTCATTACTCCCCCCACGCCCTATTGGGTATTTATGCACATTGACAAGATTTCCCCCCTTAACCTTCTCTCTTTGAGGCTTAGCAATCCCATCTCTCTCAGCCTCTCCTAGTATGACAGATGCTCCAACCCCTTAGTGAACTTTGTGGCCCTTTTCCAGAGGTGCTTCAGGAGGTCCAAAACTGGACTCAGGACCCCAGATTTTGTCTCACCAGTGCTGAGTAGTGAGGAAAGGTCAATTCCCTTCATGTGCTGGCAGTGCTCTTCTAATGCTACCCAGGATGTTGGCCAGCTTTGCCATAAGGGCTTATTGCTGGCTTATGGTAAACTCACAGTCCACCAGGACCTCAGGTCCTTTTCTGAACAGCTGCTATCCCACTGTTTGGTCCCCAGTATGTGCTGGTGCCAGGGATTATTCCTCCCCATGTGCAGGGCTTGGTGGCATTGCCCTGTATTGACTTTCATGAGGTTCCTGTGTGCCAGTTTCTCCAGCCTATTGAGGTCCATCTGAATGGCAGCACAATCTTTTGGTATATTACTCCTACAGTGTTGTGTCATCTGTAAACTTGCTAAGGGTTCACTCTACCCTATTGTCCAGGTCATTAATGAAGATGTTAAACAGTATTGGCTACAGTATTGATCTATGGGGGGCACCCCTGGTGACAGGCCTCCAGCTGGATTTTGTGCTGCTGATCACAACCATTTGAGCCTTGGAATTCAGCCACTTTTCAATCCACCTCACTGTTGACTTACCTATGTTTTGTCATTTTGTCTGAGAGGATGTAATGGGAGAGAGAGTTGAAAGCCTTGCTAAAGTCAAGACAGACAATATCCACTGCTCTCTTCTTATTCTCTGAGCCAGTCACCTCACTGTAGAAGGCTATCAGGTTGGTCAGTCATTATTTCCTCTTCATAAATCCATGCTGTCTACTCTTGGAGGACCTTCTTGTCCTCCATGAGTTTGGAAATGATTTCCAGATTAGTCGCTCCATCACCGTCCCAGGGATTAACGTGAGACTGACTGGTTTGTAGTTCTCTAGATAGTCTTTCTTGCCACCCTTTAAGATTGGAGTGATATTTACTTGCTTTCAGTCCTTAGAAGGCTCCCTGAATTGTCACAACCTTTTGAAGATAACAGAGAGTGGCCTCGAAGTGACTCTCAGCACCTGAGACCTCATGGACTTGTGTATGTCTAGTTTGTTTATGTCTAGTTTGTTTAAGTGTTTCCCAATGTGTTCCTCCTCTACTGAGGGTAGGTCTTCCTTGCCTAAGACTTCCACTCATACCTCACCTAATTCTTATCTTTAGAAGAAGACCCTTGTGTTACATAGTACTAGTTATAGTAGACAATATGAATTGTTAAGGTGAGTGAAACATCTGACAGTGAAAGCTTGTGGGTATTGGTCAAAATTTACTTAAATGAAGTTCTAATGAACTTCCAAATAGTGATTTTAATGAAATAAGTAAAAAGTTTTGAGTGACAGATTGTCGTCTGATGTTAGCTATAATCTATCCTGTTTGCCTGACTTTCCAGAACGGCTTGGCTTTTGCTTTCTTTGCAGCTATTAACTATCTGCAGTTATACCAATGCTAAAGATTTTGTTAGAAGCTTCTAAAATGGACATCAAAACATGCATCCAAATATTTATGGTGGGTTGACCTTGGCTGGCTGGCTGCCAGATGCCCACCCAGCTACTCTCTCATTCCCCCTCCTCAACAGGACAGGTGGAGGAAATGGGATGAGAGCGCTCATGGGTTGAGGCGAAGACAGGGAGATCACTTACCAATTACTAGCATGGGCAAAAGACTTGACTTGAGAAAAATTAATTTAATTTATTGCCAATTAAAATAGATTTGGATAATGAGAAACAAAAACCCCACAAATTAAACCAACACCTTTTCCCCAGTCCTTTTTCCTAATGCTTAATTTCACTCCA